TCCAGTGGTTCCAACTCCATCTTCTGGTGTCTGTGGGTACCTGCAATAATGTGTATACACACACACACACACACACACACACACACGCATGCACACACACACAGAGTCATGTGCACATGAGCAGAGAGAGAGAGGGAGGGAGAGAGAAAGGAGAGAGAGAGAAACATTCATACACTAGACAGTGGAAAAGACCCAGTTTGGGGTGGAGGGAATGTTTGTGTTTTCTTACAGGAAAAGAACAAAGCTCGTTGTCTACCAGAACATTTGGTAAAATACATGGAGCAGAGAAAAAACGAACCCAAAACCATGGAAGCCCTACTCAAGCCAGTTCTAGTGAAACATATTCCTGGCTGCACAGCCCCCTCCCCGGCCCAGTTTCCAAATTCCCTCAACCCACCCTCACCTCTGCAACCTCACTCTCTTCCCAGATACTAACTCCCCCACTTATCTGATCCCTGAGAACAGTGGGCCTGTCAGAATGGCCTTCCACCTACATACTCACCTCTCCTAAATTCTGCCTCTGTTTCATGGCTTAGAAACAGGAATTAGGCTGGCTCCAAAATTGGCTCTCAGCCTCACCCTTGCTCACTACCCTACTCCCTTCCATTTTAGGATGCCTTGCTGGCTTTTTAAATGTTGCTCACATTTGGCCCTTGGGCCATCAAGAGGTTAACTGACTTTATCAGCCAACAGATTGACTCTCTGACAGCAAAACCTATTCAAACTCACTATTACAGGCTTGACCTAGCAGCTTGGTCATGCCTTTGGAAGGTGACAACTCACAATGAAAGCAGCCACTTTCCAGGGAGACCTCCTTCTGCTATTGACAACATTAAAACATCTCTCGAAGTCCACCCTGCGAGTGCAATGAAGAGGCTGCCAAAAGGTGCCTATCCTGGGTTTCATGGGAGCATACCTGGTTGCACGAAGGTTGATATAAAAAAACCCTTCCCTCCACAAAAGGACATTGTGATGTGCCTGAGCAAGCTTGCCTGCAAAGACTGGGTTAGCATGCTCCAGGATATATGTCACAATACCATACAGGAGGATCAGGAACCCTGCTCCCACTCATGGTGAGATAATGTCAATAGCTCACCTTCTTTCTTGGAAAAAAGAGAGGAATTGTTGGGAGTGATCATTGCTATTTAGAACCTCTTGTAAATATTGTCAGTCTTTTTAAAAGAATAATCCATCCGTTCCCCAGCCCCCTATGAGTAAAACCTGGACTCACAGGAATGGCTGATAGACAGTAATATTCATCATATGATGTCATCTCCAATGACAGGGAGAGGCTTTTAAACACCCCTGGTCCATGAGACCCCCTGACCTAAGACAGGCACAGCCGCCTCAAGGATATCTCCACCTACAGCCTCCTTATTTCGTACCTGTAAGAGCCCTAATATAAGGGTGACATCATAAATTAATTAATCCACTAATACTCCCACTAAGATCCTAATAACTAACAGCTACTGCCTATTCCTCTACCAACCCTCAGATCTACAGTCCAGACCCCCCTCCTTCATTAATAAAAAGTAATGGAGGAGATGTTGGGGACCAGGTCACTGAATCTACTTCTTACCTCAGGGCACATCCCCAAAACTCAGGCACCTTCCCACAAATGGCCCAGTGCCATAGAGATAACCCATTACTTAACAATGCTTCCCTAACACCTACATGCCCTGGTGAGATCTCCTGCTCTCTGGCATATCAGAGGTTCCCCACCCCTAACAGCCCCCTGCCTCACTTCCCAGCATCTCTGGTCTAACAACCTCTGTCCCATGGCCAATGCTACATTCCCTTATTTAAGCCTGTACTATCATTAAATGACAGCTTGATCGGAAGGTCTGTCTTGCTGTCCATCTTTCTTGTGTCTCTTGTCTCAATCATTCCAGGTTCCCGTGGGCTCAAACCCATTGTGCCCTGCTGGACAGGGCAGACAGACTTTTTTTGTTTTTTTTAAGTTGTAGTAAATGATAAGAACTTAAAAAAATTCCCATTGCACAATTGTGTTGGGTAACTTGGTATTCATGTTCTAAACTTTCAAGAACGAATGCTCATGACTGACCAGAGACATTTTCAATAAAGGAAGAGTAAAACCACCAGAGTGAGGAGCATGGAACAATGTGTGACCATCACTGTATCCTTTGTTTCTCTACCACAGGCTCAGTGGTGAGTGGGTGTTCCGGAGGAGGTTACCATGATGTGTGTGTGCAGGTGAGTGCTGCTGCTATTGGTCAGTCTCTAAGAAGAGCAGAAGCCAGGCTCAGTTCCTGCTTCCACAGGACTCTAGTGAACAGCCACAGACCTGTCGCATTCACACTTCATCTTTTCTATGGTAGCTTGGTTCTGAGAACTCCCCTATAAAAGCTGTCCTGTGTTTCTTTGACTGTGTAATAGGATGGATCTAGCCCTATAAGAGCTATGAAAATTAAACATCCAGCCACACTGAAAACAAAACATAACAAAACCTGGTCATCTCTTTGTATCCAACTGCACATCTTAGATGAGAATATCGCATCACCCCAGCTTCAGTTGAGTCACTTCTTGAGACTATATATTTAAAAATATCCCATTTGAAATTAGAAATTTCTCATATTTCTTAAATGATATCAAACTAACATAAATCCATTAAAATAGTTTACCTGTCTGATTTAAACCAGTTGATTAGTAACCTGTGAACCTTTCCTCAACTTGACCCTTGTTTTGAGGTATGAAAGACACCATCTTATATGTGAGAGAAAAGTAACAAATGTACATGGTACCTCCAGGTTAACATGATGATTCTGCAGGTCCCGTGTCAATATGGGATGCCCTGCCCATTCTTATCTCATTTCTTCTCTTTCTGCCTCCTGCTGAGTTGCAGGCTAGGTGGCATCTGATTATTACAGGGACTTCCACATGTACTGGAATGGTGGCTACTAGCAGACTTTTGCTTTGGTTTGTGCTACTTAGAGGCCTAAGGCACCAATTGAGACACACAAAGCTGCAGTCGTGTGTCACGCTGAAATCTTGTTTGTTGCTTGCTGTGAATAACTCAGTTTTAGGCTTCTGGCAAAGTGTGTTGATGCCATTTAATCCTTCATTTTCCAATTAGGAGAAGGAAAGCATCGCAAAACCTTCAACAATTTTCTATTAGGAGATGGGTGTCAAAAATAAAGTAACATAAGGAAGAAGACAGTCATATGTGATACCTGTCATCATAGAATTCAGTATTCCTGTTTGTAAGACCTTTCCAAATCTTCTGAATGGCATAGATGTATGTGACACTGTTGGACAAGTGTAAGGCCAAGATCACAGAAGAGACTGTCAGTGATGTGAGTAGAAATCTGAAATCTTGGGCTGGAGAAATGGCTTAACAATTAAGAGCACTTGTTGCTCTAGCAGAGGATCCAGGATCCATTCTCAGCACCCACATGGTAGCTCACAGTCATGTAGAACTCCAACCATTGTGGATCCCATAGTCTCTTACAAGTTCCTAGACATAAGTATGCATGTGGTACATATACATACATACAGGCAAAATATTCACCCAAAGTAAAAAAATAAATACTTTTAAAATTGTTTAAAACTAAGTCTGATTTCTCATATTTGGGGTACACCTAATCTGACCCAGATGTGATACTCGGAATCATTGTGTTGTCTTTGTAACAGTAAATGGATATTTCTGCCAGTTCATCAAGAGAAACGTAATCACAGGCCAGTGGCTGCCATTTCATGCACCTGTCTTAGATTAATTGGTTGCAATTACATTTTATAGAGCAGCAAACACCTGAGTCACCTACAAAGCCATCTCTGGCAGAGGTGGAACAAGGCACAATGCCCAGCTATCTTCCTTCAGTTCCCATACTTCAAACGACTGTTCTTTGGCTTCTTTCTGCAATCAACATAGTGCCGTTCTTCCATCACCACCAGACCTTGAAGACACATGGAGAAGACCACCCAGTGGGTGGTGGTGTTTCTCACCATAGTAGGTATCCCATGGATTCAGACACAGATAGAAAGTGAAAGCCAGGGACGTGGTCGCCACCTATGTGCACCAAATGGATTACAAAGGTGATACAGAAGTCTGGGTGCGGGACACCAGGCAGGGAATGGAGACAGTTCAGCTGTTTCATGTAGAGGGTACTCAAGAGTGACAACAGAATGTAATGGTTGGGGATTGGATAGTATTCCCTGGTCTCTAAAGGTTGTGGATTTATTTTCAAAACCTTATGAAAAATATTCTTCTTTTTCTCTTGTATTAAGCACATATGAATGTACACACACATACACACACACACAAACACACACACACACAAACACAGGATAATGCTCACTTCTGAATTGTTCTGTCTACAGAGTAATCAAGTAGTTTTTATCTTGTGAAATTTTTACTTAATTTATTATTTATTCATATCACATAGTACATCTGCATGTTTTGTCTGGGCACAAGTGTGAGTACACATGGATATGCCATCATATATAAGCAAAGGACAATGATTATCTGTGGTTTCCATTCCTCAGAGCCTCTCACTAGGATCTGGGGCTGTCTGATTTGGCTAAAGTATCTTACCTGCAAACCCCAGGTATCCACCTGTGCCTAGTTCCCCAGCACTGGGATAACGTGCATACCATCACTCCTGGCTTTCAACATTGATGTGGGTGATCAAACACATGTCCTCATGCTTGCAACTGAACTATCTTGATATTCGGGGAAAATAAAAGCCAATATAATACATAGACAGTAGTTACAGACTGGAGCATTGGTATCATCCATAGATAGTAGTTACAGACTGGAGCACTGGTATCATCTACAGACAGTATTTACAGATTGGAAGATGGGAAAGAGTTGCCTGGCACTTTCATACCTATGTGAAGCTATCTTGAATGTGGTCAGGGTATGTTCATTGTTCAGAAGTTCATCTGAGCAACAAGAATTTTGTATTTCTCTTTTTGCCTTGTTATTGAGATGCACTATACCTTACCTATGAAACAAACACAAACAAGTAAACTAAACTTTCTGGAAAGATTTTTTATTGTTATTCAGGTGGCAAAAGAAGGCTATTTTACATGAGGCATGAGTCAGTAGGGATGAACACCAATTCTGCACAGTCAATGAGGATGGCTGAATCTATATCTAACCCCACCAAAACATCAGCAAAGAAGGGAAGTCTGTCAGAGCCCACACATGATGCACACAACGAAGACATTGTTCTTTCTTTGTTCATGGAGAAGTTAGCAGTGTCCTTCATGAAGAAACTGAATTTTCCCATTACTCCTCCTGAGGGAAGACATGATTAACAAGACTTAACAAAATCAGGAACATAAAAAAGTTCAAAGGAAGTTAAAAAAAAACTATGAAGTAGCAGTGGGACTAGTTTTATGGATAAAAACAATATTGTGGCGTAGAAACTATTTTCAGAAAGGAAGACTGAGTTCCAGAACATCATGCTGTTTCTAGAGAAGAGAGGTTCACTGCTTCAGTGATAACTCTGTCCCAATCTACTTCTGTTGAAAGAACAAAGTAGACTCCACAAAGGAGTTGAGGTAGTTCACCTCTCAATTTTTTTCTTGATCAGGAGGGCAGTGATGGAGCTGGATACTGCAATACTGAGGAAAGCCACCATCATTTCTCTCTCTCGGGGTCTCCTGGCCTTGACCATGCCTCGTTTCATGGTCCAAGGCTGTATATGCATCTGTGTTAAAGAATACTTCCTTCCATGAAAGGAAACTTCCCCAACAGAAATGTGTGTGTACGCATGTTCTCTAGGCTCAGGCCCAACTTGTTATTCTAACTTGCTAAGATAACCACAAACGTGAGAACACAGAATGTAAGTGTCCCAGTGCTGGTGGCTATAAAATAGTTAGCAATGATAAAAAGTGAATTTGGTATAAGATAGTAAGTGTAAAGTTCACCTTATACTTTAAAAGGGTGATATCTACCTAATTAATATTCTTCCAAATATTGTGTGGGCCGAACAAAATAACTAAACAAAGCATGTTTATGGAGTTTTGATTCAATAATAACAACAGCCTGTATCCTTTATTTTAGAAAAAAGGCAAACCAATCATTTTTATTACCTGTTATCCTTTAAGAGTACTGATACTTACTTAGAGCCTATAGCAATTTGAGAATAAAGTCCAGTTGCATTAAAGTTGTTCAGTACTTTAGAAACCATGTAAGATAGTAGATTCCAGCTATCCAATTATTCAGGAACCTTTCTTCAAATAGGAATTAACTTGGAACTTGACTTTTTAAAATAGTGAAACTTGAACTTAGTTTTGTGGGCCACTCCAAATGGCCATTTTCGCCCATTTGGTGACTCCTGACTTGACACTATATTACAAAATATGAGTTTGAAAGCTCACGACTTCCTAGAGGTATAATAATTAGATATATGTGGTGGGATAGGAACAGTTCAAGTTGGCAGAATAGCTGTCCCAACCCTAGTCTGATTCAGCTACAACGGGAATTTTCTTCTCGCCCTCTATTCTACATGGAAATGAGTAGACTAAAGAGTAAAGAGGGATCTTGGGAAGGGAGAGAAATGATTTGGGTAGGGAACATTGTTCCCAGATAAACTCTCTTTGCATTTGATACTCACAAGATCTCCGTACACAACTTGCATTTATTCCCGTAGGTGATATAATCTGAACCACAAACTGGTGTGTTTTCAATGGGGCAGGGGATAGCTACCACGGGGTACTTCTTGTATATGTCGCAGTCCACCTGGTTAGACACAAGAAACTGTCGTGGTTTTCTCAAATACCTCCTACTAGAGCTTAAGTTTCTCTCATCTCAAGTGTTCTGATGCTGTTAAAGCTATATTTTATAAATAGTGGCACTACCATCATGACAAATATCAGTAGTCCCAGCACCCTTCCTTCTTCTGAATGCCACACTTGATGAGCAATCACTGAGCATTTCGGTACCATGCAATTAACTTTAGTGTGACATGATTTCCCACTATTTAATATTTAGGACACTTGGAGAAGAGAAATTCTACTATCATGCCTATTTACAAATGGGGAAACATTTTCCATCTGTGTTTGTCTCCTCTGTTGATTTTCCCAAAACATTTGACATGAACTATGTATATTTGTTGATTAACTGATAGTCAATAGAAACTGAAATTAAAATTTTGTTTAGCATACTTACTGTTGGTGAAGGGTGAGTGGTAACTTCTGGAAGAAAAATACAATGGAAATATTAAAAATAAAGCAAACCTGGAACTTCATTAATCAATGTTGTCTTGTCTTTTAGACAAAGACTTTTCAGTTCTCTTGCCAATGAATCTCAGTATAGATTCCATCATTATGGAAAACCACAACTGTTTATTTAGGAACTTGAATGGCCCATGGGTAAGCCCTTGAATCAGGAAAGCAAATTTATTTGTTTTTTTTTTCTGGAACTTATGTATACTTGATAAGTTGCTGCTGAATCCTTATCACTGATATACTCTCTCTATTAATCAACATAAAGAAATGTAAAGGACCATCTGTGGGGGTGCACACATTTCATCAAAGTGGACTCTAGGCAAAAACAGGCAGATCTCTGTACGTCCAAGGTCTCCATAGCAAGTTCCAGGCCAGCTAAGACCACATAGTAAAATCCTATCTCAAATCATCAAACAGAAAAGTGAGTGAATATCTTTAATACGTTAGAAATCTATTTTAACTAAACTTCTTTTCACAATTTAAAGGCCGAATTGTTAATTTGAGCCTTCTGGAGAAGAATGGCTTATTTCAATCCTTCTATATGGATCCATGAAGACACTTACGACTGACTCTGTATCTCTGTACTGGGGAGTAGTCATCTACTGATACAGTTGCTAATATCCTATGTAACAGACTTTGTAAAAAATTAGAACCCTTTTGTTCATGTGTGTCAAGTAAGAATCCTTTCAAGGGAAGGCACTAAATCTCACTCCCTCAAAGTAAAGCTAGACCCATGATCCTTCTTCCCAGCCAGAACTGTTCCTCACTTTAAATCCACTTGATCAGATATTTATGTCTTAGAATCTAGGAGAAAATGTTTGTAAAAAGAAGAATCCTTCAGGACTGCTTATGACCCTGCCTTACCCAACTCACCTGAGCTGCTGCAGAAATAGGTTGCTGTGAAGAGCAGAAGGAGGCCCCCAACGAGCTTCATGGTGGAGACAACTGAGATGAGGACGTTAGTGTTGTGAGTCTGGCTTGAAGTTGAATGTGCTGTGCACTAGGAAAGGGATCGTATTTATATGGAAAGCTTTGGTTTCTCCACCTTTCCTGTGAGATCATCCAAAGTCAGCGTTGGACCAGAGAAGCTCTCAAAGCACGTCACACCCTGAGTGGTGTTGTAGCTCTTGTCAGGTAATTACTGCTTCCCTTCTCACCAACAGGAAGGTGATTTGAGGTGACAAGTATTTTTTTCTGTCTGTTGCATAAGTGAGGACTGTTAACTTACACTAAGCTTTTTGCAGAAGAGTTTCTTGTCTTAGTTATGAAACAAAAACAAATTACCAGTTCAGTTTATTTTACTCAAATGGAAGGTATTAAACACAGGCAAGTCAGGGTATACCTACATTTAGGTTAGGTTAGGTTCCTGAGAAAACAGTTTTCTTTTGAAAGCAGTGAACCCATTGAACATTCTGGCATCTGGCAAGCATGGCAACAGCTATGACATTTATGAGGCTTGGAGAAAGGTGTTGGCATTTCCTAGCTATTAAACCTTGGACAAGTCATTGATGAAGCTGTGAACTTTTACCAGTCAGGAAAGCATGGTCATATGATAGTTACTTGTAATTTTGAGATTTCTATAACTTAAAACTTGTACCTCTATGAGTGCATGGTCAGGTGATGCTGCTGCAAGGATATCACTCCAGCCACCAAATGGGCAAAATAATCATTGTTTAGAATAGGGATGTCAGGTGAGGTGAAGAAATATCCTAAGAGCATCCCTTTGCATCAAGGAAATAAATATTCCCAGAAAAGATAATCCTGCCGTTTCCCTTTTCTGTCTCATTGCTATTGGTCTCATGATCTTTTCCAGCTCCAGAGGATATGGAATTATTATGGTCACTCTTAGATTGTCCCATGAGGGTCAATATGAGAATGACTACAAGTAACTGACAAACAGCAGAGTGGACTCCCTCAGAGCCTGAGTGCCAGCCCAGTCCCATGGGGGCTATCATTAGTCACAACAGAGTTAAATGCCATTAACATGAAAGTCTGCTCTAAAGCCGAGTGTGTTTGAATGCATACTTGAGATTGTTAATATGAGGAGACAGGAGTCAGTACTTGGATTGCTGGTAATTAAACTGTAAACTGTATTGTCCAAGAACTGTTGTCCAAGTGCCTGCTATTTGTTTGCAAAACTCAAGGACATGCATGAAAACCTGGAAGACAGTAGGATATAGAGCTCATTGCTTAGTAAGCTTAATTTTATATGTTCTGAAACACATCATATACAAATGATATTAAACAACTTATAAATAGCATTGCATCACCTTAAAATTTAGACTTTTACATACTTGGGGGGCAATATAATCTTGTTAAACCACTACCATTGTATACCATGGATCTCATTTTTATTGTTCATCTAAAAGTCATTGAATATGTTAGTTAGCTTTAAGAGACATTAATACTCTTTGGGATGCTTTGGACTGTTAAATGAACCCTCACACACATGCACACAGGAAGGAGGTGGGAGTTGCAGATAGCATGCCATGACAATTTTGTTGTATAACAATCACAAAATATAATTATGCATACACCCAAGATAATATATATGTATGTACACATGTATGTAGACATATATTAAAGTACATGTTTATTATAGTTAATTTCTTCTTGGACCATTTGAATAAGATAGCATGAGATTAAATAAAGCACAGGATATATAATGCAATTAGTAACCATAATAAACCTGAGGTATATAAAGCTGTACCTGAAATAACACAGTAATATATGTTTTATAGTAAACTTTCTTTTCATATAAGTAGAAATAGGTACTAAAATAATACAAAGAATATAATAGGACATATGCTAATCATTTAGCACCATTTATTATCAGATATTGTGCAGGTGTATTGTATACAATGTACTTTTATAAGACCAACAGTGCAGTTGAGCTGAATATATTTTGTCATTACAAATAGTCTCACCACTGTGGAATACAACCTATATGTTCCCTAGTGGCTACATATTAGTTGTAATGGCTAAAAACAGCCAGGAAATGGGGATTTTGTTTCAACTTCACTATAATCTTCTGGGACTATCATTCTATGTGTGTGCAGCATGTTGTTGTCTAAAGCATCTATATCTAAAAGATGACTAATTCATGTAATTCTTTTATATGTGTGTGTATGTGCATATGCGTGTGCGTGTGTGTGTGTGTTGTATTAAGTGCTAGACTCATAATCAGGTACTAATACTCATGTTGTGGAATGCAATTTTCATGACAACAGTTATTGTCCCAATTTATTAACTGACTTGCAGTTTGAGGATTCATATAATTTTCCTAAGCTCATGACACTAATTACTGGAGGAGAATATGCAGAGTTGAGTCACAGGCAAGAAGTGGTTGTTTTAATAAGGACAAACAGTTGGAAGCTTCATTGTTTGCTATGGAAGTTACACATAATGAATATCAGCCTAAAGACATCATGTTTCAAGATGATATGTATGTTTTTAATTTTAAAGCGTAGGGTTTTTTGTTTGTTTTCTTTCTTTTGTCTTTTAGCAAAAAAAAAAAAAGGAGTATGGATGAGATCGGGGAGATCGGGATGCTGTGGAACTATGGGCTCACAAAGTGTTATTTTGGATATTTGAGTACCAGGGAAAAGAATGAAATGGCAGAAACTTAGGCTTCATTTAGTAAAGTCTTGTATTTATGCAAAAGGCATAGACACCAGGAGAGTAGCTGACCAGAGGCCTAACTGTCTAACTAGAGGCTAACTATATGGCTAACTAAAGAGGGAAGATTTAAGGTGAGTGCACAGATGAAGCCATCCCCTCTGTCACAGAAGACAAGTGATTAGGTAGGCAGGTGAATATGCAGCATGCTGTTTAGAGGGCTCAGGAAGTGGAGCCCATCATAATGTCCTATTAACAACAGAAGAATTAGTTGTGCAGTAGCTTGAGAAGGTTTGGCACCAATGTGTATGGGAATATGCATCCGAAATGGATGTAAAAACTGATGGCCATTAAGCAAAGCTCCAGCACAATTAGTACTTCGCTGCACCTTTTTCTCAAAATCCATATGACACTGAGTGATTTTGTGAATGTTGAATGAGTACACCTGTGACTTCTGACAAGCATATGTCTGTTAGGGAGTACAAAGATTTAGTAGAGTCATGTGCTCTAGAAACACCTGCTGGTTTCTTCTGAAAGGTCAAGTTTTAAACAAAATATGGATTTAGTAATTGTGGAGAACATAATTGTTTGTGCAGGCTATGGCTAGAAGGCAAATGTCAAAATGAATTTCTCAAGGGTGGGGCTGAATTCATGATACTCTGGGTGTTTACAAAAATAAACCAAAGGAGGATGGGTGGAGATTATGTGTGATGAGTGAGGTCAAGGGATCACGTGTGGGATTGGTTTGGGTTTAGGAAACTACTTCTGAGGAGTGGGAATTTTCATGCTGAACTATGAGCCACTCATTCAGGAGGACACAGTTCTGGGGTGGGAAAGCAGTCGATTTCAGGCCAAGGGCAGTTTGTTCATCCTTCGAGGCAGGGACATTGAATTCTGTAAGAGGACTGCTACTGTGAGTCCATACAGTGGGAGGAAGTGTAAAATTCAATGCAGAAAACATAAAGACAAAAGCTTTTGAGTCTTACATATTTTCCCAACTATATTTGGGGTACCCCCCAAAAAAGAACAGAATGTCTCATTAAAGGGTTATACTGGAATAAGTGTTGAGTAAGGTGTTCCTGGGTCAGCTGTTTGGAGGGACATAAGGGAAACTTCATCACAGATGGGTATAAACCAGGGACGGAACAGTATCTATAGCAGAAAACTGTAATAAGAAAACTAACATATATGAAATAATTAGTATGTTCTCAACCTGTACTCTCCGACTCTGCAATAGTTCACTTAAAATTTAAAACCACCTTATGAGATCCGTACAAATAGGCACTTTGTTTCAGCTGAGATAAAAACCGAGGCTTAAATGGTAGCAGTTTAAACCAAAGAATGATACATTTTAAGTGTATAGCAAGGAGGTATATTGGGAGCTACATTGAACAGTGAAATACCAGAAGTAAAACAGACAGAGCCAAAGTAATCAGGGAGGAGAGCTGGTATTGTGTTCAGTCCTTCACATGTGATGGTCATCTGGAAGAGGGAGGGCCCCACTGTGAGAAACAGTCAGAGAACAAACGGTTTCTGCCCTTCCCCATACCCCTATAGATCTAAAGAGCAAAATAAAGTGTCTTACTTCCTTGAGCTTTCTGTTTCCTCCACTTTTCCTGAGATTACCATTAAAATCTACCCTTGGGAGCTGTAGATGTAGCTCAAAGGTAAAACAGTTGCCTATCACACATGAAGTTCTGGGCTGCATGCCTAGCACTACACAGAACAAAATCCTACCCCAGAAAATTAACATAAATTGAAGAATGGAACGAAGCAATGAAGGAGATACTGGTATTGTTCTATTTATTCTATTCTCCCTTTTTGATGCTGTATCAGCGCCTGTCCCCAGCCCCCAGAGCTCCTTCCCTTTGATGCCCAGAAGGCATACCAGCTGAAGCCTCAAGGTCTTCCTAGCACAATTTTAAATCATGGTAATGCATTCAGCTGAGCCATCTCTGGTCCACAGTTTTCCCTGCTTCTTTCATTGTATGCCCACCTCCTACTTTGGCTCTCTTTCCTTTCTTTCCCCTTCCTTGTCTTGACTTGATACAGCTTCCATCGTGTCTTTGTGTGTTGGGGAGACAACACCTTAGGGAGCAGGACATTTGTGTTCTGGTCTTGTGCATGTCAAGGCTGTTTCCAGTTGCTTATGGAATAGAGAATTTGCATAACCAAGGATCCTGTGTGCTGCCTGAATCCAATTTCCCTTGAGCCACTGGGGATAAATTGTTGAGGGATTGACTGTGCAGCAAAGGCCTTTCTTGAGGCCCTGATGTATGGAGAAGGAACCAGGGATGTGCTTGGGAGAGCTGGTAATGGCCTGTGGTCAGACCTTGGCAGAGCTGTGGCTTCATGTCTCAAGAACCCAACTCTTCCCACCATAGGAGCTGTGGTT